AGTATGGAGCACTGTAGGGGCTGTGTCATTAAAATGGGCAAGCACAAGGGTCGTCTGTAGACGTTGCCGCAAGTCATTGGAAGCACCTTCCTGTTCTTCGGCCCAAACAAATGCAACGTCATCCCTCATGAGACGAGTTAAAGCTGACGCAATGCGCGCAAAATCTGGAATAAACCGCCGATAATATGCACAGAGACCCAGAAAACACCTCACTGCCTTTTTATCTGATGGTGTTGGAAACTGTGCGACGGCGGCAACTTTTTTGGGGTCTGCACGAACTCCTGCGTAACTGACGACATGGCCAAGAAACTGCAGTTCATCATAGCAGAAGTGACATTTCTCCGGCCTGAGCGTCAGGCCTGCGGCTCGTATGGCCTGCAAGACCATTTGCAATCGTTCAAGGTGTTCGTCAAACGTTGTAGAAAACACAATGACGTCGTCAAAATATACTAGGCAGGTTCTCCATTTAAGCCCAGAGAGAACAGTATTCATGAGACGCTGGAAAGTAGCAGGCGCGGAGCACAAGCCAAATGGTAAAACCTTAAATTCGTATGGTCCGTCTCGCATCACGAAAGCGTTTTTTTCACGATCCCTGGGGTCTACTTCAATTTGCCAATATCCGCTCTTTAAGTCCATGGAAGAGAAGTAACGTGCGTTTCGAAGCCTGTCAATTGAATCATCTATGCGGGGAAGCGGGTAGACGTCCTTTTTTGTGACCCGATTTAGCTTTCGATAGTCTACACAGAAACGCAGGCTGCCGTCCTTCTTTTTCACTAGAACAACAGGTGATGCCCAGGGGCTTTTCGACGGCTGAATGACGTCGTCTTCAAGCATTTTTGTTACCTGCTGTTCTATCACTTCTCGTTCTTTTGAAGCCACACGGTACGGATTTTGATGGATTGGTCTAACCGTGTCCTCTGTGATGATTCGGCGCTTGGTCAAGGACGTCCGGCCAACTTTCGAGGTCGACGCAAAACAGTCGTGGAACTCGTCTAGCAGCACAAGCAGGCGTTCCCGCTGTTGCTGAGTTAAAGTAGGGCTCACATCAAGGTTAGGTGCTAGGTCATGTGGGTCTTGTGCAGGTGTTGCTTCGAGTGCTGAAAAGCAGTCACAAACATCTGCGATCTCGTCGAAATGTGCCAACGTTGTGCCTTTTGGAAGGTGCCGTCGCTCGGAGATGAAATTGGTCAACAGCAAGTTCGTTCGGCTGTCGGTGACATTGACTATTCCTCGTGCTACGGAAATCCCGTGTGTGAAAAGCAGCGAGGTTAGTTGGTCGGCAACTCTTTCACCGTCGAACGGTACGTCACATGCTACTGAAACGAGGATACATGATCAAGGCGGCACGACTATATTGTGGTCTTTGAGACGAAAGGATTTGTGCTCTGGTGATGTAGTATCAGTCAGACGAGCACTCTCGTAAAATGAAACCACGCGGTCCGGGATGTTGATTATTGCGCCATGCTCCCTGAGAAAGTCCATTCCTATAATTAAATTTTTGCAGCACTCTGGGAGAACAATGAAAGTAGCAACGAAAGAAGAATCTCCTATGCTGATTCTTGCTGTGCATCAATTGACCACCTGCTGTTCTTATATGTGGGCCTGTCCATGGCGTTTTTACTTTTCTAAGATGATCAGCCAGCTTCTGACTTATTATGGAAAAATCAGCACCCGTATCGACTAAGGCCGTCACTTGCTCTCCATCAATACACTGAGGTCGGCGCTCACCATTTCGTCGTTGTTAATATTCGTCGGCGTCGAGTCATTCTGTAGCGGCAGTACTGGGGACATTTTATCGTCTTGTGGTCGGGCTGCGACCTTACCCCGAGAGGTCGCCGCCTTTAGTTTCCCCGGTAAGGGCTGGGCGACCTTGTTCCCCGAAGGTCAGCAAAGGTACATCGATTCGGTGACGATGTCTGAGCAGGGGATCGAGAGCGTGACCTGTGGGCGGAATTGGGCTGGTGATTAGGAAGCGACTCGTGATAGGGAGACCACGTTGTTGAAGGTCCTCAAAAACCAGGGTCGTCCTGGCGAACAATGTAGTCGTCGTTGGCACGGCGACCGTCGTACCCTGGCCAAGACGGGCAAAGCGATGTGTCGCGGTACCAACAATAGCGAGCTATATGGCCGGCACCACCACAGTTGAAGCAGAGAGGGCGCCGATCGACGGTGCGCCAAGCATCCGTTCTGCGAAATTGTGGGCGTCTTATGTCCTCTTGTGATGGTGAGTAAAGCGCGGCAAGTGGTGGCTGGTGGCATGGAGACATCGGAGACATGGGCCAACGTCTGAAAGCCTCCTGCAATGGTTGTGACAAAGGTGCAGCTGTAGGTGGCTGGTAGTATGATGTAATAGGCGGGACGGGTGGTGGACGGCAGACAGCGTCGGCGTAACTCAGTTGACGCTGATCGCGACCGAGATCAGCTGCTGAAAAAGCGTGCCTAAGTTCGTCACGAACGACTGCGGCAACGGCGGTCACTGGTGTATCCACTGGAGGGGTCCAAAGCTTCTGAATTTCTTCTCGGACAATATCTCTGATCAGGTCACGTAGGGAGCCCTGATTGTCCAGAGTCACTAAAGCGGCGTTGACTGAGGTGGTAGTGGGCGAGCGATTATATTGCCTCGATCTTTGGTGCAGAGCACGCTCAATGGCAGTGGCTTCTCTTATAAAGTCGGCCACGGTAGTTGGGGCATTGCGCACAAGTCCAGCGAACAGTTGTTCTTTCACGCCGCGCATAAAGTAGCGCAACTTCTTCTCCTCGGACATGTTGGGATCAGCCTGACGACAGAGGCGCGTCACGTCTTCAGCAAACATTGCCACAGTTTCGTTAGGTTTTTGAAGCCTTAACTCGAGCAACTGCTGAGCCCGCTCTCGACGGTCAACGCTAGCAAAGGTGTCAATCAGCTGCTGACGAAACTCATCCCATGTGGATATACGGCCTTCTCGATTCTCAAGCCACGTGTGAGCGCCGTCATCAAGAGTGAAGTACGTGCGGGCGAGCTTCTGTTGAGCATTCCACTGGTTGATGTCGGCAACGCGTTCGTAATGCTCAAGCCAATCTTAAACATCTTCATGTAGGGCACCATTGAAGCGATCAAGCACAAGCTGCTGAAGAAGTGTTACCTGGGCTGGATTGGAAACGGGGCTGCCTTGTATCCCTTGGACCAACTGTGGCTGGCTAGCGGAGGCCATAGGTAGAGGTACGTAATGCCTGGTAGAATGTTCGTCGAAGGAGGTCAGCTCAGGACATAGGCCTAGCAACCGCCGACTGAAGCGGTGCACTGGTGTCGTAACAGATGGCTGCGTGTCGGGACTTGAGCGACGGCTCCCAGATGGGGTGTTGAGCATCGGCAGGCTTGCTACCCAGCACCTCCACCAGTGTCGCGGTTTAACGTAAGCAGTGCACCGAGATGTTGAGTCCGAGAACCTATGGCGTGTGTTTTTATGCAGGAGCCAAGAGCAGGCGAGCAAAACAAAAGCACGTCGTCTTCTTCAGTCCCCCTTTTCACGAGGCTGTTGGTGCGCACATCGTCTTCGTTCTTTGTTTCGGGCGCGGCAATACGAATTTTAAGGCTCTTTTGGATAGACTACATTAAATAAAATAACCTCGATTAGGTGTTATACGAATGGTTTCCTTAACCACCGCGGATGATACAAATGCGCGATAGACCGCTGCATGCCAGCCGCGCGACACCGCAAAAACACGCCGCAAGGCCGACGTGGAAAAATCGGTCGGAGACCAATTCTCCCCGCATGCGGTAGCATAATCTCACCTTTTTGCTTGACTGCTTTGGCTTCACCGGCTGCTTTATCTTTCGAACCCCGTGATGTCAACAACCAGCCGCAAATAAACATGACGGTGAAGGCATCGGCGGTGGGTCGCATCGGCGCTATCACGAGCTACCGGCGCGGCACGTCAAAGCTCACAGCCTTGACAAGGACGCGGTGATTGAGAGCCTGGTTTGGATTACGATCGTTCATAACACCGGAAGTAGAAGAAGGTGCAGCAGCAGCGAAGTCGGCTTGCCCGAACGTGTCATGCTTTTGCACTGCCGGCTGAATCCGTCGCCACCGCTGTGTCCGCTCCTGTCATTTTGGCTGGTGTGTTTTTCGAAATAATGTTAGTAAAGGTGTAAAATGTTTCTTTTCGGTGCCTTGTATGCATAATTATAACTTGGTGCGAACTTCAGTGCTCAGGAAATGGGCAACATGGAATGAATTCTCAAGCGGGGATGGCGGGGGTGGCATGTATACAAGGGGTAGAACGAATGTGAACGTTCTCGGCAGGCGCAGACGTGGTTTTCCGGCCACGCTGGCATTTTCGCTTGAATTCTCCAATGCCAATTCTCCACGAATCATTTTTTTTTTTTTTCGTGTCGACTTCGCCGCACGATTTTCCGGCTGCTTAAGCGGGGAAGCGAGTGAATTTCCAATGAGTTTGGTAGCTTTCGCTCGCTCTGATGTCAACTGTGAACGGGCTGCGCCAGCAGCATGAGCGAGGAAAACACGGCCCTTAATTAAGAAACGGTGAAGGCAGGAAAGTTCGAAAGAACATCACAACTTTTTTTAGCAAGGTGTAGTTGCCAATGAAGTTCTTGTTCATCATCTTTATCAGCTTTAAGTTGTTTTTGGTTCATACGAATTTGGGCGGATATGAATATTTTACGCGCTCCCTTCGAATTCGTATCATCGAGATTCTACTGTATTTGCTCATACAGGGGTGAATGACTCCCTCAAGCCATTTCTAGTTGGCTTCTTTTTCCATCAAATTGCATGTGTTGGAATAAACTAAGTAAACCAAATCAGTCACTGAATCAAACTGAATTATTTGTCGCATTAAGGCAAGCTTGTTTTGCTGTTATTAGCATATATGAAATGTATATCTAAGGAGATCACCCTATTATCACACCAAATGGTGCGACGTTATGGTAAAGTTTGACTGTGGTTCATTATTTACGGCACTACTGGTGAAGTGGCTTCGATCGCATTGACACTGCGCAGGTACTCCCCAGATGGCCGTCTTTTGGCCACATGCGGTGATGACAAGACCCTCTGCATCTGGGACACGGTGTCCGGAAGCAGCGTGCACTGTTTCACGGACAGCGGAAAGTGAGTCCTCCATGTTTTATTCATGTTTGTCTTACAGGTCTCCGGTGAAACGTTGCGACTGCCTACCACTGCTTTCAAAAGATCAGTGATGTAGGACAACTAGCCGGAAGGCTGGTTCACTATACCAATGTGGATGGAATATCAGGACCTGTATATTAACTAACAAGACACTAAAGAGAAAAATGGTTTTCATTGTATTGGTAAATTACTCTTCAGCGATACTAAAAGCACCTTGCTTGCTTAGGGGATTACGCTTGGTAAGTGAGAAAACGCACAAGAGGAATGTGGCGGGCAAGGCGAACCTGAAGTTTTTGCACTAAATGCCATGACATCACAGGTGCCGACCGCTTCTCTCAGGTCCCGAGTCATTAATAATCACTGGTTCGTACAGGTCCTTCGAAACCATGAAAATTCTTGAATTTGAAAAGAACGTTTTCAAGGCCCTTGAAAGTCCTGGAATGGTATTCTGTCCTTGAAAAAACTCTTGAATTTCTGGACCTGTGGAATTCCACAGTGGAACCTGCTTTTTGTTTCAGATTAACATTAATGCGACAAACTTCCCCTTCCATAAACCGCAAACGGTGTGAGTTTGTATGTATTGTTTGTTCACTACTTGTCCTATCGTTCATTTCACTCATCTATCCACGCATTTTGTCTCGCGTTCTCTCACTACTTATCCCTTTACAACTTTACTCACTTCTGTCTCCTGCAAATATGCTTTTTTTCTTGTGAAGCGAACGGTGCATATTGTTACTACACTGCAATGGTGTCAAGCCTTGCTACAACAAAAGCAAGAAAGGCCTTGGAAGCTTTTCAGATTATCAAAAGAGATTGTCTGTGTTTCAGCGAAAGTTCCGTGTCCCTGCATTCACCTTAATACCGTTTTTTGTCGTCGCATATCTAATTCACCCTTTTCGTCACCGTTTCACGTGTCCAAGTCTTTTGTTGTGTACGCATGCGCGGTGAGCCTGATTTGCACGTAAATATGCATTGAAATTTGAAGGAATAAAGCAGTTGATAATCAGTGCTCGTGTGTTTATCTTCTATTCTTTGTGCGGCATGTTCTGTGTTTGCGCTAATAATTTTAATTCAAAGCCTTGCTAATAGTAGAAACTACATTAGGTGGCATCAATGCTAAACTTATACAGTACAATTATGCAGTTGAAATTCTCACAGAACTTGAATTTATGTAGTCGTAGCTCCCAATCTAAGGAAGAAATTTGCATGCCCCTGCAGATACTCGTAAGGCTCAACATCGTTATCAATCCCGACTGACAAAATGACTTGAAACCAAACCTATCTGACTAAGTTATTTCTTAAATAAATTAGTGAAGAGAAGTACAAATATTTTATAATTTTTTCACTGGCAACTTTTTTCTTCAAGCACGAGCACTGTCGCTTTTGCCTTTACACCGTCACCCGTAGTCGCAAGCCTGGTTTTAGGAAGTTGAAATGGCTGCAGCCATTGTTTCAAGAGAGCGGGACGGTTTCGGACCGATTCAGTCTCTTTCTCAAGGGGCGACTGTGTTGGGTCATGGAAGCACGACCATGTCTTGTCCTCTCGCCATGGCTCCGACTTTCCCTTTCCCTTACGTTTTGGAAGCTATCAGCGCATACTGGGGTTACTGTTCCTGGTTAGTGGTTCATGTTTTCAGGTGCTTGCCGAGTGTGCCGAGACTCTTGCAGGAGCAGACTTCCTGGATTTTTTTCTGTGCCTAAAACGGGAGCGTTGTCAGAGTCGATGTTATAGTCGTGCTTGCATAGCACTTCTATCTTCCCGACGTGGTTCTTGTGTTGGCATATTTTTGCCATCGAGCTCTTTTAAAATCAGAGTTAGAGGGCTTCGATTTCTTGAGTCTTCTATCCAGTCAGATAGATTTCTGTCGAAATGTTTACATTTAAGCATGAAGGAAAGAATGGTAATTTTAAGGTCTAGTTTTCTTTATTAGACACAGTATTAAAATATTAGTGATAACAGACAGTGATACCAAGGAAAATATAGGGAATGTTACCAGAGGTACGTCAGATAGATTTCTGTCAAAATGTTTACATTTAAGCATGAAGGAAAGAATGGTAACTTTAAGGTCTAGTTTTTTTTTTATTAGACACAGTATTAAAATATTAGTGATAACAGACAGTGATGCCAAGGAAAATATAGGGAATGTTACCAGAAGTACAGTTAAGCGGAACCTGATCAGACCCCGAAGGTGTGTTCTGTTTACTAAGAGATGAACAAAGGTGCAGAATTCAAGTATGAAACCAATCATATCAGAGGCAGTTTTTCCATTTAAGCAGCAGTTTTGTTTAACAGATTTCCTTTTACTGAGAATCTACTGTAAATATGACATGAATAAAGTGGACGAAATGACTTGCCACTGGCAGGGACCTACAGCCACCCACATAAACGGAACAATGGACTCAACAGTCGTGCTGTTACGTACCGGATGGTACTATGGGTGGCGATGGTTTATTGCTCTTGTCAGAGCTCCCACAGCAAAACTACTGTGCGCTTTTGTTATTCCTTGATTTATGCAGCAAACGACTCTAATCGTCTTCTTGAAAATTTCTCACTAGCCCTACCTGCAAATCATTGCACTAATTCGCCCCATCCTTGCGTTTCGGTTGCATGTCATATTTCACAAGACCGCTTACATGACTTGCATCGCCTAGACCATCGCCAGGCTCAATGTTTGTTACACCTGAAAAGACTTTTCACGCAAACAAGCATGGGCTAGCAGAAAAAAAAATGTCTGCCTTAAGTCCTATATATTAACTTTATCTTTTTTTGTTTACAAAGCATGCCTTACAAGGTGAATAGATATGTGCTTATTGAATACTATTTTTAATGAAGATCATGCTGTATATACCATGAACATTCTTTATATTGCCACAAGTTGCTCGTCGTCCTCCATAAACGTACGCAGTCTCCTGCGTTTGTAAACGCCACCAAGCAAATTACAAGCAATGCATGCAATGCACCGCCGAGAAGACTGGCCGCTCATGGTATGCCCGGTTCGCCACTGCTTGATAGAAGAAGAGTTCGATGAAGTTCAGGCTGGCTAGCACGGAAAATTTCCGAATAATGTTGTTTGCTTAAGTTCAAGGGCACAAATTCGCCCTGAATAAATAGTTTTTATCAATAGGCATTGTATTTTTTGGTTACAATATATCCAAGCAGCAGTAGACTTTTGTAGGCATAGTGACAGTAGTTGAGGAGGGGCTATTCACGGTAGAACCTTTTTATTACCAGAAAAAACACAAAAAGAAAAAAACAAGAAAAGGAGCAAATAAGTGAACGATAATGGTAGCAACATGATAACGACGACAATGACACAAGAAGACACACAAGGGTTCACGCCAGTGCGTAATAAAAGGCCTAGCCGAAGTGCCTCTTCCCGAACAACTGCCGGGCCACCCGTGGGTAGTGCTTCTGACGCTGCACCGCTGCTCTCTTCTTTGCCCTGGGCGACAAGCTTGAGGGAGCCGGAGGCGAGTAGTGCTTCAGCGCCGAGCGCAAGGTACGTGCCAGCACATTTCGGGGTCCGCACATGCCCATGTAGTCGTCGGCCGCCACGTCCATGAGCGCCGCACCGCCCAGAGTTCTGTTGCGCAGAAAGGCCACCTGCGCGTAACAATGGCACACGTTCTCGGGCAATCTGTGCCTACTAGAGCGTTTCAGCCATAGCTTTTCAAACAAGAAGCGTGGTTAGTTAGGCAGTTGGGATAGACTGGGGCCATTTTTTAACTGTACCCACAGCTGCGCTCTGGGTACAGTGCGAAAAAAAGGATAAAACACAGGAAGAGTAAAGAACAAACTTGCGCCGTCTTTCAGCTCAAACACCTTTTTTTTTTTACGTTGGGGCAGCTACGCGTACAGTGGAGTGAAGACAGGAAATAGTGAAGCTCAAGGCCTTCCCCTCTTTTTTTTTCCCTGATCCTCACCCTCTTCCCTTCCCCAACCCTTGCGATACTATACATATGGCTATGGTATGCTTCTTTTCTCTGTTGCATCCTCCTCTCCCTCACTTCCCTCTCCATCCTCCTTGCTATAATATTGTTACACAAGGCAAGGTAACTTAGTGGGGGTTTTTAATGGGCGCTGAGTCCGCGATCACCGTATGATGATGACGATCTCCACCGCCATGGCTCGTACCCACTCAGAAGGATCGCAGTGAAGGCAACGTCGTCTTCATTCTCTACCCGCGCTTCCCTTGTTTTTCCTGGTAGTGATACTTCTTATCATTCCTCTGGCCTCAGACGAAGCCCTCTGGGCGAGTCATTCTTGCATCCTTCGTGTAAACAGCTTCAGGCGGGCAACATGCGTCACCTCTGTCTTGCATGAACGTCGGCCACTAGTGGTGACACGTGCAATTTCATAGTTGACCTCGCTGAGACGATGGAGTATCACGAAAGGACCGGCGTAGTGTGCCAGTAGCTTTTGGCTCAAGCCACGTCTGCGTATTGGGGTCCACACCCACACTAGATCACCGGGGGCATAGGTTACATGCCTATGTTGACTGTCATAGCGAGTTTTAGAGGACTCTTGCACTGCCAGTGTGCGTAGGCAGGCAAGTCGACGTGTCTCTTCCGCACGACACAAAGTTTCCGCAATTGTTAAATCGTCATGGATGACAAAAGGAAAGATAGTGTCCAGCGTATGTCGAGGTGAGCGAGCGTAGAGCAGATAAAAAGGGCTGTAGCCTGTCGTTTCGTGTTTCGACGTGTTGAAGGCGTACGTGACGAATGGTAAAACTTCATCCCAGTTTTTGTGGTCAGAGGCGACGTACATTGACATGTTGATTAACATTCGATTTGTGCGCTCGGTGAGGCCGTTGGTTTGTGGATGATATGCAGTTGAGTGTCGGAGCTTGGAGGCACACAAACGAAGTAATGATTCGACAATATCAGCGGTAAATTGTCGTCCACGGTCACTTATTATCACGCGAGGAGGTCCGTGTCAGAGGATGACTGAATGCAACAGGAACTCCGAAACCTGGTCT